AAGGTTGACTCTGGACACTAACCAGTATAAAGGTTGACTCTGGACACTAACCAGTATAAATCAAGGTTGACTCTGGACACTAACCAGTATAAAGGTTGACTCTGGACACTAACCAGTATAAATAAAGGTTGACTCTGGAGACTAACCAGTATAAATAAAGGTTGACTCTGGACACTAACCAGTATAAAGGTTGACTCTGGACACTAACCAGTATAAAGCTTGACTCTGGGCACTAACCAGTATAAATAAAGGTTGACTCTGGACACTAACCAGTATAAAGGTTGACTCTGGGTTTGATGGTTGTGATGAAACCGACTCCTAATTAGTAAAAATAAACCCACGGTGCTCCTGTGTGTCCTTGCTGCACGGAGAAACCCTGATGTTAAAGGAATAAAAGCGGCAGTGTTGGCAGAAAGCTCGTGTGCTGGTGAAGCAGGTGCTGGTTTGGCACCAGTAAAGACACGAACCAGTCAGAAAGTAAACAAACGTAAAGCCGCTCTTCTTACCTGCTCTCGTCCCGACCCTTCCTCCAAGATGGGCTCTTCTGCAGCGGCCGTCTCCTCCTCCGTCTGCATTTTTCGCCCCTCTCGTCTTCCTCAGGCGGCTCCCACCCAGCAGGTACCGTCCGAAGGCAGGAGGAGGAGGAGGAGGAGGAGGAGGAGAGTCCTCCCCGGAGGAGCAGCAGCAGGGAGCTCGGTCACCCCATCCGCCGCCGCAAGTCGGGATCCGATTTCACGACGACGATGGCGGGGCCTGCGGCAAACGAGGAGAAGCGGCATCTGCTGGCCGTGTCCTTCCCGCGCCTCGTCCTCCCGGAGCTGACCCGCTTCACTGCTGGCGTCGAACCGGCGCCATTCTTCGGTTCTCCGGTCAAAGAGAAAAAACAAAAGGAGGAGAAGCAGCAGCAGCGTTCAGTTCAACGAAGCGGCTCGCTCTCACTCAACGGTTACGGCGCTCGCGCTCAACGAGCTCAAACGTTCGGTGGCACGAGAGCGCGCGTGACCGACACAACAGCGCACGAGTTAACCGGACACGAGCCCAGAGCGGGTCGATGAAAAAAAAAAAAAAAAACACTTGACCTAATGGGACAGTTTTGTGTCCTTGTAGAACATTTCCAGCTCGGAGACCAAAAATAATAAAATCTTATCAAGATGAAATTTAAAAACGGGGACATTTTACGGTTTTACACATTTATTTATGTTTAAATAATAAAAATCAAATGTAGCAGTAGGAATGTGTATCTCAACCAGGGGCGTTTTTAGGGTCTTGAAACAATGGGGGTTTTAGCCCAGACCCCTTATTCATCCTCCCTATTTAAAAAGTGCCCCTTCAAGTCTATAATTATCAATTTTTCAGACTTATTATTGTTACATTTTGTTTATTTATCACACACAGTCAAAACTAATTTCTGTCAGTAGTGGAAAATAACACTTATAAAAACCATGTACTGCTGCTATTATATTTACTTTTTAAAGTCAACTAAACATACTTTGGGTTTTTGCTTCTTTTATTTAACAAGAGCTGATTTAGGCTCCTCCGTTTTCTGCTACTGACAGACAATCCTGAACTTCACTAATGGAACTGTTGTGTTCTGGTATATACAGACGTTTGCCCCGCAGAGGGAAGTAAAGACACCACAGGATTTAGTAAGTAAAGTTTATTTTTAGAGCGCTTATCACAGACATAAAATCACAAAGCGCTGTACAATAAAAATCAACGCTAAAATATACAAAGAATAAAACAAGCATAAGAACTTCAAGAAGCACAATAAAATCATGACATAAAAGCCTGGGAGATTAAAAGTGTTTTCAGCTGCTTTTTGAAAGCAGAGTCAGCAGAACGAAGTTGAAGGGGCAAACTGTTCCACAGCCTTGTAGCCACTGACTGAAAGGCCCGGTCCCCTTTAGTTTTCAGCTGCGTACGTGGAACATCCAAGAGGTTCTGTGACCGGGAGCGAAGGCCACGAGCAGCAGAGTATTTGGTTAAAAGCTGACAAAGATACACAGGAGCATGGCCATTTAAAGCTCTGTACGTCAGCACAAGAACTTTGAAACGGATTCTAAACTCAACTGGGAGCCAGTATAGTGAATATAGAACTGGAGTGATGTGTCAGTATATACTGGATTTGGTGAGAAGTCTGGCAGCTACGTTCTGTATTACTTGTAGGCATGAAACAGAAGACTTGTCCAGGCAGGTAAAAAGGTCATTACAGTAGTCCAGACGCAATGATACAAAAGTGTGAATAATTTTCTCAAGGTCAACTCTGGAGACCATAGGTCGTATTTTAGAAATGTTTCTTAAATGAAAGAAACAAGAACGGGAAATAGCCCTAATGTGAGACTCAAAGCCTAATGATGAGTCAAATGTGACTCCTAAATTTTTTATTTGGCTACTGGGCAGAAAGAGGCTATTTTCTGATTGATTTTTGGGTGAAGATGACTCGGAGCGGTAATCAAAGTCTCTGTCTTACTGGTGTTTAAAACCAAGAAGTTACTGGCAAGCCAGTCACTGATACAGGACAAACATTGGACAAGGATGGCCAATTTATCCAGCTGGTGTGGTCTAAACGAAAAATACAATTGACTGTCATCAGCATAAATGTGATAGGAAATATCAGAAAAGAATTGAATAATGCCGGCAAGTGGGATAATATAAAAGGAAAACAAAAGTGGACCCAGAACTGAGCCTTGTGGCATCCCGCAAGTTAACAGGGTATTGTTTGTAATAATACTAAATGGTATCTCCACTACTTATCCAGGCCAGGAATTTGATACCATCCCAGGCCACCATCACCCCAATTAGCAAACCACCGATAGTGAGTAAAATTGAGCGCATTTTGAACACCATATACGTACTTGTCCTAGCAACATGGTGGCCATTGGTGTCAGAAGCATTTGTAATGTGGAGGGGACACACTGGTGGGGGGTTTGGTGGTCCTCCCCCAGAAAATGTTGAATAAAGGAGATGCCATTTCCTGCATTCTGGTGTATTTTAACGGGTTAACATCTACGTTTACCTCCATAAGTAAACGCTTGCTTCAATAACTACTTTAGAGTACGGCACAACAAGTGATTTGAGTGTTCTCCCATTAATCAAGTGGAATGGATTCGTTCACGAAGAAAGGGTGAACAAATACGGTTCGGCAAGGCCTCTAATTATTTAACTAGTTTCCTCCGCTGATGAAATGCCAAAAATCTTATATTTATCAAAAACCTATATTTATTTGGAGCTCCAAGCTCATAGAACGGAAGAAATGCACATTTAAGCAGGTGATAATTTTTCCCTCCTCATCATTTTCCATCCAGTTCATTCAGTTTCCATCACTGAGGAACTTTCATACGTCCAGACAAACACACCTAAGCCTAGGGCTGGACGATACGGCCAAAAATGTTATCACGATACATTTCTTAATTTCGGTTGATAACGATATAATTCTGATATCGATATAAACAATATAAAAGCCTCAGAAAAACTGTACAAATAAATTAATGTTCACCTTTTATTTGTATTTAGACTTCAAAGAAATTTGAAATCACCGTCAAATAAACATAAAACTCAACTTTGTCAATATTAAGTTTTAACTTTAAACAACAACGTGTTGCATGGGTTTCTCTTCTGATACAGCTGGGGTGATGTTTCAGGGACACGTTGGTTCAAACTTTTATTGTTCTTCATCTTCTGACTCAGCATATTCTATCGAGTGGAACAAGTTCATGTGTTCCCACCGCTAGTTGGAATCACTCTCCGTCACATTTTGCAGCACACTTAGCCGAACCACTTCCACACCACCGAACTAGTCTTCCCTCTCTTATCAGTGATGTCGTCTGCTTTCTCTTCGCTTGTGAAAGCTTGTTCAGTCACATTCTGACGGTCATGGACACTCATTTTGAAGTGAAAACTTACCGCGCGTTGAAGCTTAGTCTAGCTTAGCCTAGCCTAGCCTGCTACCACTGACTCCTTCGAGCTGTGGTGTACGTCACCACGCACTTACGTAGTTGTGTCGCGGGTTTTTCTGTTCGTCTTGAAGTGATGCGTCAGTGAAACGCTGTAGTCCTAGCGTAATGTATATCGAAATATCAAAAATGTGCTTAAAACTCATATCACCGTTTTTGAATAAAATTGTATCGTAATTTATATTGATATCTAATTATTGTCCAGCTCTACTGAAGCCCATTTTTTTACACCTGGGCACAGCTGACACCACTAGAAACTTCCTTCCACAAACCAAAAGTTCATCACAGCTAGGATCAGCCCAGTTCAAACTAAATAAATCGGTTCACACGTACCATATCACAGGAGAACTCCCCGTTGGTGACGAGCTTGTGCTGCACTTCTTCTTCTTTTGTTTTAAAGGTGGCGTGCTCGGCTCTTCTTCTCTGTCTGTAATGTTAACAGCTACAGTAATAGCTATTGTTGGACATAACATTTTTCACTCACACTTTCTACCCGGCCACTGTGATAACAGTCTTTATGCAACATTTTTTTTCTAATTCAGAAAACGCTAAAATCGGGGACATTTCCAGGGACAGCTTTAGCCGGGGACAGGTCGTCCAAAACGGGGACTGTCCCTGGGAATCAGGACATCTGGTCTCCCTATTACAGGTCGTTCAAAATGGGGACTGTCCCTGGGAATCGGGACAACTGGTCACCCTATTACAGGTCGTCCAAAACGGGGACTGTCCCTGGGAATCGGGACAACTGGTCACCCTATTACAGGTCGTTCAAAATGGGGACTGTACCCAGAAATCGGGGACATCTGGTCTCCCTATCGTAGAAACATTTGCTGTACGTTTACATTAGTAACTGCAAACCCGTCGAAAAAAAAACAACTTTAAACGTTTAGGGTGAAATTTAAAGAAAAACCCCACAGGTTTACGGTCTTGATCGCAAGGTTTGTGTCTCTTTAAACAAAACATTAGTTTAGAGTAAAATAGAGAACAGCTAATGCGCTCAGCAGCCATTTTATTAGGTACATTTGGACAATCCAGCTAACCAGTCAACCACAAGTCAGCAACTAGATGTATAGATGATTAATGTAACTTGCTGAAGTTCAAACCAGGCACCAGAATGAAGAACAAAGAGGATATTGAGAAGCCTTAACCCAAGGGCAGCAGGAGGGCTAAGTGACTTTGAATGTAGCGTGGTTGTTGGTGCCAAATGGGCTGTTCTGTCTTTCAGAAACTGCTGATCTACTGGGATTCTTGCACAGCCATGTGTAGGGTATAAAGAGAATGATCCAAAGACAAGAAAATATCCAATGAGTGACATTTGTGAAAAGATTTGATAATGTCAGAGGAGAATGGGCAAACTGGTTTGAGATGACAGAAAGGCGACAGTAGCTCAAAAACCTACACATTGCAAACAAGGTCCATCTCTGAACACACAACACGTCCAACTTTGAAGCAGATGGGCTGCAGCGGACCACACCAGGTGCCTCTCCTGTCAGGTTAGAACAGGCTCACCTAAAATGGACAATACGAGATTGGAAGCACATTTCCTGGCATGGAGAGTCTTCATTCACTGAACTCCAGTGGCTCCATGGTCCCCAGATCTCAATCCAGTCGAGCGTGTTTGGGATGCGGTGGAACAGGAGATGCTGCAACAGCGTGATGCGTTCATGTCAATAAGAACCATAATCAATGAGGATTGTTTCCAACAACTTGTTGAATCTATGGCATGAAAGATTAAGGCAGTTCTGAAGGCAAAAGGGTGAGCTCAGGCAAGGTGTACCTTATAAAGTGGCCTGTGATTGTTCTTTAGGTATAGACTAACGTTTAAGTTGTATACACTGATAAATGACGCATTTAAAAGGTGCTTAGGGCGGCTGTGGCTGAGTGGTTAGAGCAGTCGTCTTCTAATGCAAGAGTTGGGGGTTCAAATCCACCAGCAGTCACATGCCGAAGTGTCCCTGGGCAAGACACTGAACGCCTCATTGCCTCCGATTTGTGTTTCATCGGTGTATGAACGTGATCTAAAGAAACCGTCCAGATGACCTGACTGAAAATTGTTGGATTATACACCTGGATTATTGAGCATGGACTTTGTTGATCTAAAGCGCTGATTAGTCTTTAGAAAGGTTTGTTCCATGAGCTTTGTAGCGATCTAGTCGAGTGCCGTATGAATGGGTAAACGAGGACACTGATTGTGATGTAAAGCGCTTTGAGTGTCTTGATCAAACAGGAAGGTGCTATATAAGTACAGTCTATTTACTAATAATAATAATCTGATTTTATCTTTAGGAAAAGGGAAAGAGGCTGGAACTCATGTTCATCTAAACTATTTTCTTTTGTCCATACCTGGAAAATACTAAAAACAAATTCCAAACTTTAAGACTTAAACTGTATGTACCCTTAACAGAAATTTGTATTCAACTAAACTCATTAATTTCAAAGTTAAATAATAATAATAATAATATTATAACTAATGCACTGATATTATTTATGATTAATAATCTACAATTAATTTAACAATCCACCTGTAGTTTACAGGCATAAAAGAACAAGAAATACAAAATCTTAAGCAGAATACCCACTTGTCACATTTTTTTATTATTTATTTCCAAAATAATAGTAAAGTCCAGAGTTGAATCTGGAGACAGAGGTGAAATTTGAAGATTGGACTGTAGAAATGGTCCATATTGTTCCTGGAATTAACAAAATACTTTACACACTCTTGTCTGGATTTTGAGCAGGTTAGATCTTTTGATTGCACGACACTGACCTGTTCTACTGGAGGACTGGTGGTCAGAAGGGTGCCGGCTCATCGGAGTGATTTTCTGACCAACTGTGCGCCCGTACAGCGTTGGAGCTCCTCTTTTTGTGCACGCTGCTGTACTCCTCTTCATAAAATCTCTCGGAAAGGATTAGTAGAACCATGTAAGGACAAGTGCCACTGTTTGTTTCCTCCCCACACTCTGAAATCTGTGACAAAGCCACTTTTCCTTTCAACTCTTTAAGTTGGACATGTCTAATGAGAGTTTCATTACATGTGAACACGTATGACCCGTGTTGCCAATGAATGAGCACGGGCTGCAGTGGAAAAACGTGAAAATATTTTAGCGGAATTGAGATTTGCGTAAGAACAAATCCATAAAGCACCATCTGGTAAGCCCAGTTAAAAAAAGCATTTACCTAATCGTCATAATTTAACTTAAATTAAAAAACAACAACTTTTAAACAGTTCTGTCAAAGTCAAATCCTGTTAATCGTCTTTGAAACTGACCATTTTTCTCTGAGGACTGCCTTAGTGCCTGGAAATCCCTTCGTATAATGTTTGGCATCAAAGTGAAGTTTGCGGATTCCCTTTTTTAAAAGTAGGACTGGAATTCCTGATGATTTCACTTTAGACTAATAAAAATCCAGTTTTTAAACAACTCCCGTAAACGAAAATAGAAAAATTACATTTACTGTGAAAATGCAGCGTGAATGCTTATTGTTGAAGAACTTGCTGAAGATCAGCTGAAATTAGATTAAAAAAACATGCTGAAATGGAAGAACAAGCCTAAGTTGGCAGAAGAAAGCATAATGAAAACATTTTTGCTGAATTAGGTTTAAATAAGCAGAAATGAGAACAAAAAGTTAGTAAATTAGCTAAAAAAAAAAGTTGAATTTAGCAAAAAGTAGCCAAAAAGGCTGAAGGAAGCATAAAATACCAGAAAAAAGTGGGATCTGAAATTAGATAAAAAATGTTGGAATAGCTAAAAAACCTAAATTTTGCACAAAATCAGCTAAATAGTAGCTGAAATAGCATAACAAGCTGAAACTAGCAAAAAGAAGTTAATTAGGCTGAAAATAGCAGAAATTACCATGAAAAATTTGGAATTTGTCTGAAAAAAGCTTAAATTAGCTAAAAAATGATTAAAAAAAAAAAGAAGCTGAAAAGGTAGAACAAGCTTAAATTAGCCAAAGAAAGCAGAAAGAACTTGTTTGCTGAAAGAAGCAGAAATTAGTGGAAAAAAGCTGAAATAAGTAAAAAGCAGCTGAAAGTAGCTAAAAAAAAATGCAGAGAGAGAGTTAAATTACCAGATGAAGTGGAAAGAACAAATTTTTGCTGAACTGGGCTGAAAAATGTTGAAATTAATGCAAAAAATTTTGAATTAGCCAAAAAAAAGCAAGTTAGCATAAAAGCAGCTAAATAGTAGCTGAAATAGCAGAAAAAGCCGAAACCTGTATAAATAAGCTGAAAGGAGAATGAAAAACTGAAAAAACAGCCGAAAGTAGCTGGAAAAAAGTTTAAGTTTGTACAAAGCTGAACTAGAACAAAATGTGAAAGGAGCAGTAAAAGGTTGTAGATGTAAAATGAGCTCGATTCATTTTCTATGAGGAAAAAAATAACAGAAAAGGCTAAATAGTTCAAAAAGCTAAAGTTGCACCAATACCAAAAGTCATAGCAGGATTGTCCTGAAACAGCTGAAAGTTTTTGATTAATGATTTGTTGAAATAGCACAAAAATTGTGGAACAAGAAAGATGCTGAAAAACGTACAGAAGAAAAACGGATCACAATAGAGTGAACACTTCATAAACATTCACACAACTAGCTTGTTTCCAGGTGATGAGTATCAAACTATTTAAGTATCATCTTTAAACTTTTGCGATAGGATTTGAAAATTATAACTTAGTATTGAAAAATTCCTAATGAAACTCATTTTGCTAACGCACGTCATTTAAACAGTTTTAGTTCTTGGCTCACGCGTTCGTTTTCAGTACTTAAAGGATATCAGCAGTGACAGGAAGGTGGAGAATGTCTGTTTCAGTGTGGATGTTGACGATGTTCTGAAAGATGAACCTGTTCTGTTTGGCTCCGCCCAGCTGAGCTGCACACGTGGCGAACAGCTGAACCTTCAGCTCCACGTGCAAACCTGCAGCCACCTACGCAGCACATGACCACGGTTTTACTCACCAAAAAGTGAGACATAACGCAACTTGTGACGCGTTTTCTTCTATAAAGTAAAATCAAACCCTTTCGATGTGGAACAGCCTAATATTTGGATACTGAATGTTTTGGATGGAAACTCACGGGCCCCGGATTGTAGAGGACTCGGAGGCCGGTGGCAGCTGGAGGCTGTTTCACACGAAACCTGGCGGTGACAAAATGAAATAACCCACAATTATCTACAGGTCAAACTTGAAGGTGACCTACAGCTTTAATCAAACCAGAGTTCTCATTTTTAAATATCAAAAGGCACATTTAAAGAAATCTGAGTGCAGATAAACATGCTTCTCTTATTTGCTGTCGCCTTTCTTGTTTGTGCACATGCTAATTTTAGGAACATAAAGCTAGTTTAGACAAAGAAGGAGTAGCTGAGTGCAGCTTTAGACTCGGTCAGTTATTCTGTTCTGTTTACAAAAGTTTTCAGAACTAACAGTAGAATGGCTCAAAGTTTATCCATCAAATCATATCCGAGTTTGGACTGATGGTACGTTGTCTTCACTGGGTGCCTGAGCCAACAGGAGTATTATCAGTCAGGTTGTATCAAAATAATATTCTACGATGATGTTGACGTTTTATTGTATGTAGGCATGTCACGATAATTTTGCTGGGCGATTAATTGTCTCAGAAATTATTGTGATAAACGATAATATTGTTTGAAATTTGACAATAATTAGTAATTATTGTCAAATTTAAGAAGAAATGTTGGTAAATTTTATGTGCAGTACCTTTTTTGACCACCGGATGGCAGTATAAGACTGTTTGAACCAAAGGATGGATAGTGAGGGAGTGAGCAGCATGTCTTTAGGAAAAATGGGAGGGAGGCCCCTTGACGTGACATGGGCTGTCTCTCCTTCCTGTTTTTCGGTTCTCAGAATGGCAGACGCTCGGTGTGGTTTGAGCTCTTTAGTATAGCATTTTTCACACAAAGCTTTTAATAAAAAAAAATCAGTAAACAAGTTCTCAACTTCTTTTTGCAGAGGAAAAACAACTTTTTAGACAAAGGCACAGGTTTCAACTGTGGATTTTGGAGCTTCGGCAGGACGGAGGTTGTTTCCCCAAGGTCGGCCTGTTAGCTTAGCTCGTAGCTTAGCTTCTCAGATTAGCTGCTGTTAATGATCCAAAAACGTGATTTCGGATCATTAAAACAGATTTTAAAGAGAAGAGAAAAGGAGGGGTCAGTGAAGAGCAACGGAGTTGAGTCTTTTGTCATCCAGCGTCTTCAGTAGAAAGAGACACGAAGAAACGATAAAGCTGATAAATGAAAATGAGGTCGATAATTTTAATTTATCATGTGATTAATTGATTTATTGTTTATTGCGACAGGCCTAATTGTATGCAGATGACACGGTCATATGTCACATATAATGAAGTATCAAAGTTAATGCTCAATAATCCAGGAAGAAAATCCAACAAAGTTCAGTCGGGTCATCTGGATGGTTTCTGTTTTTTGTTGAGACATTTCATCCTTCATCCAGACCTGACTGAACTTTGTATAATGAAGTAAGCTCCAGTTTGGCTTCAATCTTCATCCACAAGAAATAAATACAAGGACTTTACCAAACATTTGTGCAAATAATGGTCATAAAGATCAAGAATGTAGAGAAAGGTCGACACTTTGTTGTGAGTTTTGGTTCGACACAGGGTAAGACAGCTAATTAGGGATGGGGCCGATCTGATCCAGTATCCGTATCGGGCTCCGATACCAGCATAATTTACGTATCGGATTTTCCGATCCAACCTGCCAATATTTCCGATCCATGATGCACGTTGGCTTCAAACTATGGAATGGATTTCCTGAACGGCGGCGTGTCTCATGAACCCAGAGTAATAAGACCCGCTTCACATTCAGGAAATCCATTTCATAGTTTGCAGCCAGCTACAACGTGAGGGCTGAGTTAGCAGCACTGTGGCTAACAGCTAACCAACTTTTCATCGAAACATGTCCGCTGTGTGGAAGTATTTTACACTAGAAACACCACAATACAAGACAGCAATGTGCAATGTCTACAGAGCCATAGCGCCATATTAAACCGCGGTAAAGTTAGTTTTACGAAGGACATTTGAGCTCCGGGGCTTCAGCGGTCTGTTATTTTTGTTCAGTCCGGAGAAGGCAGTCTGATTTCGGTCATCCACGCTCAGTCTGACCCGCTCAGTCTGTCCTTGTCTGAGGAGGAACAGACTGAGCGCGGCTGACCGAAATCAGACTGCCTTCTCCGGACTGAACAAGAAAAACACATAGCCGAAGCCCCGGAGCTCAAATGTTTACAGAGAAGTTGCTAAACTTCATCGTAATTAATGACCAACTGGTATCAGTTTTAGAAAACAAAGGATTTTGCAGCTTGATATTTGCAGCCAAGATATAGTTTACCCTCCAGGAGATATTTATCAGTACAACAGTAGACAATCATAAAAAAAAT